GAGGGCTCTGTGTGTCTCTGAGGACTCTGTGTGTCTCGGAGGGCTCTGTGTGTCTCTGAGGGCTCTGTGTGTCTCTGAGGAAAAAAATTAAAATAAAAAAACATTTTCGGTTTCGGCCTGACCATTTTTATTTTATTTCGCTGCACCTCTAGTTAGAATGGTGATGTCATGTGGCAGCGTAAGGAGCAAGTACAATCTGACTTCTCCAATTCAAAGTAGAAGGAGCTAAGCGTGGCGATGATCAGCCGGTCAGAATTTATAAACTGAGACCATCAGGAGACGGATTCTGATTGGCTGCTAAATGCCAACCCCCCGACGCTGTTTACCGGAGCTTTATAACTCCTGCGGCCCTTGAGTTCATTAGAGTGTTGATTTAAGGAGCGAGCGCTTAACTCTCTCTTTGAGTTCTGGGCGTCTTCGATCTGCCATGTTGCGTTCGGCTCATCAAGCTGTGTTTGTGCGGGGATTAATCAATAGGACGGGTCAGCGGAGCATTAATTACTCAGCGAGCTGTCTCTCTTCTCTGTGCAAAAAAAAAAGAAAAAGAGAAAACTACCTGCTTAAGATTAATGACCTCCTCGCAGACGATCGCTGGCTTCGCCCCGAGGCCCGCGGGCTGCGGCTTGTCCGTATGTCAGCAGAGTGCTGCGCGGGCCCTGTTACTGGGCTAATCACTCTGTAACAGATTTGTTGGTGCACCGACTGTGCCGAGAGCACAATTTTACCCATTTAGAGGAAGAAAGTGTGTTTACCATATAGAAATACGAAGACGCTAGATTGACCGCTCTGCGCTTTCACCAGCGTTAGTGATGGCACAGCGCTGCAAGTGGATGGCTTAAAATGTATTTAAAGGAGAACTATGGGGGTCAGGGCTTTTCCCCATAGTTCTTCTAAGGTTAACGGGAGGACACAAACTAGCGTCCTCCCTTCACCCAAAGCTCAGTATATAGGGAGCAACAGCTCGCGGTATACTGAGACGCCGCAGCCGGGGCGGATCCCGACAATTATGTCTGGATCCGCCCAGCTGCGTGAGTGACAGCTGGCTCTGCCTATCTAGAGGCAGATCCAGCTGTACCCGCCCCCTAGCCCCGTCCGTTCCTCCAGTCAGCGCTGGAGGATCGGAGGGGGAATCCAGTCCCTCCCCTGTCACGGCTCTCTGCAGTGACAGGATCGAGAGGTGAGCAAACGCTGGTATGTGTTCCCTCACCCCCCGATCTACTGAGCCAACCTGTGACAGTCTCATTGTCACAGGTCGGCTAGAACTATGAGGTGAGTGAAAAGCAACCCCCCCCCTCATAGTTCTCCTCTAAAGGCAACATTAGTTTCATATTTTTTTGGGATACTCTGTCAAAAGTTGATATTGTAGTCCGACGTGATGCAGAGAGACCGCTGCTTCCTTCTCTGCTGCATGCTGGCAGGGGACGGGCCTTAATCTTCAGGCTGTGGCTGCTTTAAAAAGGAAACTGTAAGAATGTGAATTGGGGCTGCAGCTAACGATTATTTTCATAACCGATTAGTTACCCGATAACAAGTGTGCGTGATGTCATTACCCGTGTGCATGATGATGTCACGCTTGTATGTAATGACATTGCGCGTTGGTGATGACATCCCAGCAGGTGACACCCTGCAGCCGCACTGGATGACACCACACCTGGGGACGCCCTTTTGAATTGATACACCCGGAACAATCCTGGCCCTCCAGCTGTGCATTAACTACAAATCCCAGCATGCTTCTGCCTCTGGGAGTCACGCCTGTAACTGTCAATCTTGCAATGCCTCATGGGACTCGTAGTTCCACAACAGCTAGAGAGCCGGAGTTGCCCACCCCTGACCTGGAATATATCATGCCCACTGCAGGACACTTTGAAAAGGCTGGCTGGTCATGTTTGCCCTCATAGCTGAATGTTCCAAGCCGTCCCCCCCCCCAGGAGGGATCGGACGTACCCCGGAAGAATTCTTCCTCTAAATCAGTTTTTCTTTTTATTTCACCTTGAGAGAATGGAGGGGGCTTTTGTTTATTCCCCCCAGCAGGGGGCGTCGGCTTACCAGTTGCAGCCCGCCCACTCCTCTCGACTACTTTCAGCGTTAATTGGGAGGAAAGAAATCTTTGCCTTTTTGATTTTTATTTATTTACCCGTCACCCAGGCCGCGGCTTTCTCCTTCCTGAATAGAAGCTGAACGCCGCGGCTGTGTCGCAGCGGCTAAGCGTGTATTTATAGCCGCTCCCTCGCCAGGCGTTTGTTTTGCGTGCGGCGGGGCAATGGCTTTGCATATCGGAGCTCAGCTGTGCCTTTCAACTCTTTGTGCCAATTGAGTGTATTCAAATTAGGAGTGACAATGCCTTGTAATGAACTCAACATTCGGTGCCTCTCAACCGCCGCCCAGCCGCTTGTTCCAGGCGAGGGCCTTTCCCCCGGGACCAGCCAGGGCCTGGAGACAACATTCGCAGAAACTTCAAACAAAGTTTAAAAAAATTGGAAGAGCGGATTTTTTTTTTCTTCATGTTATTATTCCGGCCAATATAATGATGAGGTTTCATGCCGTCACTCACTGTTACCAGGCTCCCATTCCGTGCATTGTTGCTGTATGATAATGGGCAGCAGCTCAGCCGGCATCTTACTTTATGATAGTTCCTTCATCTGTATTGGGTGGGTGGTCACATTAAAGAGTCCCCGGCAGCAACCTAAACAAATTGCAGGTAAAAGAACAGAAAATTGGGTAATTGAAATACTTGCCGTGTTTGGTTTTATTCTTCCCTTGCACAGTGCCTGTGACCCCGCTACAAAACGTGACTACGCCAGGAAGAGTCAGTTCTCTAGCCCTGCCCCCTCTCATTTGCATGTCACAGCCCTCTCCTGGGAGTGTCTAATTACTGTCAGTGCTGGCACGCCTCCTCTGCCCCTCCCCTCATCCTTTATGTAGCAGAAAGGGGAAGAGCGGAATACTATAGAGCAGGGGTAGATTGTAGCAGGGTGAGAAATGTAGATTGTAGTGCAGGGTGTAGATGTGTAGCGCGGTGTGTAGATTGTAGCGCAGTGTGTAGGTGTGTAGATTGTAGCGCAGTGTGTAGATTGTAGCGCAGTGTGTAGATTGTAGCGCAGTGTGTAGGTGTGTAGATTGTAGCGCAGTGTGTAGATGTGTAGATTGTAGCGCAGTGTGTAGATGTGTAGCGCAGGGTGTAAATTGTAGCGCAGGGTGTAGATGTGTAGCACATTTTGTAGATTGTAGCGTGGTGTGTAGATGTGTAGCGCAGTGTGTAGATGTGTAGCGCAGTGTGTAGATGTGTAGCGCGGTGTGTAGATGTGTAGCGCGGTGTGTAGATGTGTAGAGCAGTGTGTAGATGTGTAGAGCAGTGTGTAGATGTGTAGCGCAGGGTGTAGATTGTAGCGCAGGGTGTAGATTGTAGCGCAGGGTGTAGATGTGTAGCGCAGGGTGTAGATGTGTAGCGCAGGGTGTAGATTGTAGCGCAGGGTGTAGATGTGTAGCGCAGTGTGTAGAGTGTAGCGCAATGTGTAGAGTGTAGCGCAGTGTGTAGGTGTGTAGATGTGTAGCGCAGGGTGTAGATGTGTGGCGCAGGGTGTAGATGTATAGTGCAGTGTGTAGAGTGTAGCTTAGGGTGTAGATGTGTAGCGCAATGTGTAGAAGTGTAGCGCAGTGTGTAGATGTGTAGCGCAGGCTGTAGATGTGTAGCGCAGTGTGTAGAGTGTAGCTTAGGGTGTAGATGTGTAGCGCAATGTGTAGAAGTGTAGCGCAGTGTGTAGATGTGTAGCGCAGGCTGTAGATGTGTAGCTTAGGATGTAGATGTGTAGCTTAGGGTGTAGATGTGTAGCTTAGGGTGTAGATGTGTAGCGCAATGTGTAGAAGTGTAGCGCAGTGTGTAGATGTGTAGCGCAGTGTGTAGATGTGTAGCGCAGTGTGTAGATGTGTAGCGCAATGTGTAGAAGTGTAGCGCAGGGTGTAGATTGTAGCGCAGGGTGTAGATGTGTAGCGCAGGGTGTAGATTGTAGCGCAGGGTGTAGATGTGTAGCGCAGGGTGTAGATTGTAGCGCAGGGTGTAGATGTGTAGCGCAGGGTGTAGATTGTAGCGCAGGGTGTAGATGTGTAGCGCAGGGTGTAGATTGTAGCGCAGGGTGTAGATGTGTAGCGCAGGGTGTAGATTGTAGCGCAGGGTGTAGATTGTAGCGCAGTGTGTATATTGTAGCGCAATGTGTAGAGTGTAGCGCAGTGTGTAGGTGTGTAGATGTGTAGCGCAGGGTGTAGATGTGTGGCGCAGGGTGTAGATGTATAGTGCAGTGTGTAGAGTGTAGCTTAGGGTGTAGATGTGTAGCGCAATGTGTAGAAGTGTAGCGCAGTGTGTAGATGTGTAGCGCAGGGTGTAGATGTGTGGCGCAGGGTGTAGATGTATAGTGCAGTGTGTAGAGTGTAGCTTAGGGTGTAGATGTGTAGCGCAATGTGTAGAAGTGTAGCGCAGTGTGTAGATGTGTAGCGCAGGGTGTAGATGTGTGGCGCAGGGTGTAGATGTATAGTGCAGTGTGTAGAGTGTAGCTTAGGGTGTAGATGTGTAGCGCAATGTGTAGAAGTGTAGCGCAGTGTGTAGATGTGTAGCGCAGGGTGTAGATGTGTGGCGCAGGGTGTAGATGTATAGTGCAGTGTGTAGAGTGTAGCTTAGGGTGTAGATGTGTAGCGCAATGTGTAGAAGTGTAGCGCAGTGTGTAGATGTGTAGCGCAGGGTGTAGATGTGTGGCGCAGGGTGTAGATGTATAGTGCAGTGTGTAGAGTGTAGCTTAGGGTGTAGATGTGTAGCGCAATGTGTAGAAGTGTAGCGCAGTGTGTAGAGTGTAGCTTAGGGTGTACATGTGTAGCGCGCCCTCTGAACCTGGATTGTGACGCATTCTTTGGGTATATCTCGGAGTCCCCGAAACGCGTGATACAATGTTGCCGTCTATGAATAACATGGGAATTGTGTTTTGTATAACAGACTTCCGCTTTGTGTCTTGCAGAGGAGCAGCTGCCGCACGGCTTTCCCGCCATCGACATGGGACCCCAGCTGAAGGTGGTGGAGAGGACCCGTACGGCCACCATGCTGTGTGCAGCCAGCGGGAACCCCGACCCCGAGATCTCCTGGTACAAAGACTTCCTTCCTGTGGACACGGCCACCAGCAATGGCAGGATCAAGCAGCTCCGCTCAGGTATGGCGCATGGCGAGGGCGCTGGTTGGCTTTGTCAGAGTCAGGTGACGTACAAGGACAGAAGTCCGATGAGACCGCGATGGTAATATGTAATAACTTCATGTGAAGAAGCCCAAAACAGGATGCTGGAGGCTCCGCCTACCACCAGCCTTCTAGTCTTATCTTCAACTCCTCTCTAGTGTCCCCGCCCCTAATTGGTCTCATTCCTCCTGCTGCAGTCTCTATAATGTACAATAAATGGGTGGTTCAGGACGAGGTGGACATAGCGGAAGTGGGATTCGAGGTGCAGCGGCCTGTCCTCTGTGGTCCCCGTGACACATAAGATTCCAGTTGGTGATCCACAGCAGCCGAGACACGAGGGGTAGAGGGGATCACCGGGGATATATACATTGTATCCTTATCATTGTCACATTGCTGATCTTGGGGTTAGTTCTCCTTTAAAGGCCAATTACTACCCAAAGCAGAGTGTAGTGATCCTGCCAGTGACACACTTCCTGTCCCAGGGTGACAACGCTCACTCGCTGTACTGTTATCAGGATTGGATCACGGAACCCCCCGCTCTTCTCCTGTTCTTCATAACATAGGGGGAGGGGTTCTGTAGTAACAATGTAACTGGTTAGAGTGCAGCACAGGCAGGGAGGAAGTTATCAGTGAAGGGGATTTGTGGCAGGATCAACATGGGATTTTTTTGAACAGATTTAACAAAACGCTTTCAGTGGATTTAACGGAACAAAAGGTAGCAAATAAGAGACGTCGTAATGCATAGTGTGAATGAGCCGAGGTCCTCGGGGGCGGATGCATTTCTGACCCCTCCTCTAATTATTATTATATAGAATGTATATAGCGCCAACAGCTGGCGCGGCGCAGTACAATATAAGCAACACATTACAATTGCAATACAATTAAAGACAAGATGGTAAGGAGGGCCCTGCCCCCGAGGGCTTACACTCTAAGGATACCTTGTCGTGCTTGGCCCCACCCCTATACCAGCCCTGGTCCCCTCACCCGTGGGCTCGGTTACTGCACTCCCATGCTTGCAGCCCGGGGCCGCGGCGTCCGGATAATAAATCTCCGGCTCGTTACCCGAGGCGGCCGCCGCGTCTCTTGTCCTTTTAGGCGATCTCATTCTTCAGCTCGACGGCTCCCACTTGGTGCCCGTTCGGCGTTGTTATTTTTAGTCGCGGGGAAAAGGTCGGCGCGTCGCTTCTGTGTCTCTCTGACAAACTTTTATTACAATACGTCGGCGTGATTATTGAGCTGATGCCGACACCTTGATACTGGGAAGAAAGGGGGGGGGGGGGGGGTAACTGA